GTGAAATAAGCCAGTTGGTAAAAGACAAATACCATGTGTGTGGTTGCTTCTCAAGTGCCCCCTACTGGGGGCCTGGCCTGCATCCCAGGCATGTGCCCTGACTGTGAATTGAACCAGTGACCCTTTGGTTTGTAGGCCGGCCCTCAATCCACTGAGCCACACAGCCAGGGCAAACACCGTGTGATCTTATCTATAATTGGAACCTAATGAACAAAACAAACAAATAAGCAAAATAGAAACAGAGCCATGGAAATAAGGAACAAACTGACAGTTACCACAGGGGAGGGGAGAGAGGGATAATGGGGGAAAGAAAGGAAAGTGTCTAGTTAAGGAACATGTATGAAGGATCCACAGTAATGGACAACAGGGTGGCAACTGACTGAGGGAGCAGGGGGTAGGTGGGCAGGGAAGAGTAATGTGGGAAAAATTGGAACAATTGTAATTGAACAATAAAAAAGGAAAAGAAAGGAGAGTACTAGCATGAAAATTCACTGACGTATACTGGTGGCCAGAAAGAATACAGAATACCAGTGTATATACCTCCACCCAAAGGGTTCTTCACACCACACACACAACATGCTTCAATGAATGAACTAAATGAGTTTCACTGAATGAACTTAATACTCTCCGGCTTGACCTGAGCTGCTTAAACATCTGTTACTTGACCTTGAAATATCAAGGATGTGCTAATGTGTTCAGGAATCTAACTTGAAGTCACCTTCATTCACTGGACTGGAGACCTTGGACCAGGAAAGATCTGGAAAGAATCCTTCTTGGTCTGGCTGTGGAACAGGAGGTAACTCAGGCCCGAGAATGTTTGGAAGTTGAAATCATCCCCTTGTTGTAAAAAGGACACTCATTATTCTGCCAGGATGGTTTCTGAAGGCTCTCTTGGCTTTCCTAACCCTGATCAAGGGTGCAGGGATTAGGGATTCCCACTGTGAAATTTAAGAACAGAATGAAGCCTCATTAGTTTCTATTTTGCATCTTCCACAAATAGGAAGGAGATATCTGCTTTATAAGCTTTTTCTGTCTTCACATTTTTGGGGTCAGCGATGAAGGTGTTCCTCTGTCGGGAATGGGAATGGGCACTCTGTAAACCATAACTAAAATTATTTTTCAGTAAGAATTCAAAACTGTATCATACCATGCAAGATTGTTGTGAAAAATTAAACCATAAAATGTATGTGAAGAAACTAAGTACGATGCCATGTACTTAGTGTGCATTCCAGAAATGGCTGCTGTTGTTGAGAAGGTCAGGCTGAAATTCTGGGGCAAAATAAGAACAGCTCAATGAAAGCTCTTTGGTTCCCTAATCCTTAACCTCAGGAAGCTTCACTCTTATCATTTATAAAATGAGATTAATAATACCTTCTTGATTTTGTCTAGAGTTGGTTGAAACTTCCAAAGAATTTAGCACTCTCATCACTAGTTTTATTTTAATAAACATTTAACCACTAGTCAAATTTCTTGGGCAATATAATCTGATACATGGAGCGGGGAAGACATGATTTGTACATAGACAAAATATACATATTGGAAAAAATAACATCTTCATATTCATAAAGTGCTGAAAAAGCACTGAAAATGGATAAAGGTCTATACTGGATTTAGATGCTGGTTGTTTCTCTTCCTATATAAAAGGCAGAGAACTCTATAGAGAATGTTATTACTTTTTAATAGACAGTAACTACTTGGATTGTTGTACTCTCCATTTGATATTAGGAAGAGAATCCATTTCAATAAGGCTTGATACTTCCAAAAAAATTTAAGGCGAATTAGCCTTATGTGTTACTAAGGGAACTTTTATTTCCAGTTATTTTGCAAAGCAATGGAGGAGAGCTATGTTCTTGTTATACTTCTCTTTCACAGAATTGTTTCCTACCTGAGGTTACCTGCCAAGCTGTTTGCTTCTAATATAATGTGATATACTCTTTTGCTCTGAGACCCTTTGGAGACCATAGGTTCTTTTCAGGAACTTTTTTTTAGTGCTTTACTTAGGAGCTATGAGTTAAGAATGCTCTGAGGCTAATTAACTATTTTCTTTCATATAAGCAATCCTGGAACCTAGATATAATATAGCTTTACTTTCCAAATAAGTTGGAGGATTAAACCATAACATGCAACAGATATCTCAAATATATAAACTGATTCCAGGGCAGGTATATTGTCCTGGGACCAACCTGTGAGAAACTGGATTATTTTCTTTAGGAGACAGGAAGATATTCTGTAAATGAGCTTTCTTAATACACAGTAGCCCTCACTTGTTTACAATAACCTTGATTTTCGGAAGGTCATAGCCTCTCAACTGTCTTATGTATTTTTCCTTCTCAGCCACAGAAGAGAGTGGGCTTCAAGTGCCTAAAGTTCTTGGAAAATATCAATTGAGAGAAAGGGACCTCATGAGAAATAAAAAGGCTGGAGCAGTTCCCTAGATGCCAAGAGTGCCAGTCATTCCTACAGCTCAGGAGGATGAAGATTGAGCTAGTGTGGTGGTCAACAGAGCCAAGCATGCAAAGTACAGCTCTCAGTGCTCACAAACTCTCCCCAAACTCTCATGTCTCTGAATTCCAATGCAATGGCTACATGAGATTCATTAAATGAAGAAGTGGAAATAGTGTTGTTCCAAAGGGCATAGGGGCTATGGAGGTGGTTGTAAAACAGGTGTCATAAACTAAGAGACCAAAATGAACCCATGAAAACCACAGCCTTCTTCTTAGAATGGGAGGCCACCAGTCAGAACTGGAAAGCTACTTTCTAGTAGGACTAAATCTGAGTAAAGATGTGTTTGTCCAGTCACACACTCTTGGTGGCAGACAACTTGGTGTCAGTTAGGTCTCCCCTGAGGAAGTGTGAACAAATTGTCGATTCCACTACATCTTAGCCAATGGAGAAGTTGGAGGCCATAACTTCCCCAATATTTTTTCTCATGATAGTGTTACGTAGGCCTGTTCAACACCAGGGAGATTAGGTAGTGATAAATAAACTAGGGGCCTATTGTACATTCAGAGATTGTTTACCCTCTAAGCCACTCTTGGACTGTCACAGGGATTTGAAGAATTCAATTAGTATTTTAGGACATGTGATTCTCTTACTGGTAAGAATGCTTATGCATTTTCTCTGTACTTGAACAATGATTAAAATAAAATTTAAAAAAAAAGAAAAAAAAAGAATGCTTATGCATTTTCTCATAAAGCTAGAAATTACGGGGAACATTTATCCAAGCTACCTTTATTTGTTCTTGATGAAGATGAATCCTTATGCAAGGTATTTGGACTCATGAAAGTTTGATGTTTCAAAAGGGCCAGATAACTCTGTGTGGGTTAGAGTAGTTCTCTTTATCAGATTAGACTCATTCTCCCTCTATCTCCACCCACCACCTTTTCTCCCATAACCCCAACTCAGGATGTTAAGCATTCTCCTTTGAGGACAGTATCCTGAAATGCCTAATTAGATGCTATCTCTTGGTGTATTCCATTGCCAGGTACCCAGTATGTCTAGTATAATAGAGGTTAGGTTTACTATTTTAAAATAAAATATTTTAATGTTCTTGGACTGCTATGAACATCATCGTTGTTTGCAAGATTTTTAAAAGAGGTGGTAGAATAGAGAATGGCTCTCTAATGTATTATGTTTTAAAGCTTTCCCTTCAACCAGGGACCACAAGAGCCTTACATTCCAGTACTTTCCATAAGGTGTGTGTGAGGAGGTCCTATCAAGGATGTCCTGGGCCCTGGCTGGTATGGCTCAGTGGACTGAGGGCTGGCCTGTGAACCAAAGGGTGGTCAGTTTGATTCTCAGTTAGGGCACATGCCTGGATTGTGGGCCAGGTCTCCAGTAGAGGGTTCATGAGAGGCAACCACACACTGATATTTCTCTTTGTCCCTCCCTTCTCCTCTGTCTAAAAATAAATAAATAAATAATGTTAAAAATAAAAAAAAAATGTCCTGGACAGCCAAACTCCCTACTTGGGATCCTTTGTGTAGGATGCTCAGAATTGCCTTAGTCGGCTGCCACAGCACTGTAGCACTGTGATGGACTGTTTAGGTTGAACATCATAGAAGTCAGGTGCTGGATATGATGCATAGTGTTATTATTCTACAACACGTCACCCAATTTGTTGTATCTGAACTACCTTTATTCTGTACTGGCTAGGCTTGGGACTTTAGGAAGCTCCCTTTTGAATCCAGGGTAAACTTGGAGTTTATAGAATTTGAAGCCTAGATCACACCCAAGTTTTATTGTTGCTCAAGGAACAACTTTCTGACCCTGACCACTATCAGACTACTGCCCAGGAAGAGAAGTCCCACCCCAGCAAGCCAGTGGAGTCTAGAATAGCCAACCTTTAATTATTTACTACATTACCCAAACCTAGTATTTGCCAGGTAGAACTACCTGCTACTAATTTAGAGGTAGGCTTGCCAGCACCTGATTACATTTTATGGAGTATTTAAGCTTGCTATAGAATATTGTAGACTCAGTCATACCTTCCTCAGAGATAGCATCTTGCTTTTAAGTTAATATTTCTGATCTTAAACCTGAATGACTCTTAAAGATAGGTCACTATGTTTCTTCAAGATAATGGGAAATCACTTAGAAAGATCTTCATGGGATACATGGGGCCTTACATTTAGAAATACTTATTGGCATTAATATGACTGACATATGCAAAATGTGATATATATGGGTGAAAAACAAGCAACAGGTATAAATTTAAGTGTCACTAATTTGTGAATAAATATATTGGTTATTCTCTGCATTAGGAAATGATATGAACATGTGAATTTCATGTCATCCCGAAATTATACCTATGTGTGTATTACATATATACATGTTAATACCTATATGTTTGGATATACATATATATGTCTATACACGTGTGTATGTACAAATAGATGTAATGTAGTTTGTACAAGTATGAATAAATAAATAAAGGTGAGCGGCTATGAATTAAGTGGCTCTAAATCTCCTACTTTTATAGTAAATCACCTGAGGTATTCTTTAGCAGTGAACAAAGTTTTTCACATAATTTTATTATATTTTTTAAAGATAGCATTAGTATTACTTAAATGGATCCACAGGTAAATTTTTTTTTCTGGGAGTATTTTGACATCTTTGTTTATGAAACTTAGCAGATATTAAGTTAGTATTTTCATTTGAATAAACCCACTTAGTATGTACCACAACTTAAAATATAATCTCAACATATAGCACTTCACTGCTCCATGCCATCCTTATAACTTAACACCACATTGAATGCTACAGTATTTCATAAATTTATTTCTTAAATACAAGCATGACTCTTGGACTTGATCATGGTTTCCATGTTCACTTTTAGCTACATTCAGGATTTTCAGTTACTCATTATTTTCCTCTATCAGTCTTTACTGGCAATAACACTTGGTGTTCAGATAGCACCATTTATAATAATCCAGAGTAATGGGCAGACATGATTCATGCACCTTCCCCTTGTCTGTGAGAAAGCAGCTCACAGAGTCTGCATATGGTGACCCTGAGACCCTCTGCAGTGACAAAGCCAAGGCAATGGCAGGACAGAAACTGAGTCAAACTGGCATGTCCCAAGGTAAGGACTGTACATAAAGCCTGGGTTTCACACAAGTCAGGAGCCTAATGGAATACCCAGCTTGGAAGCCCCCGCTGCACTCTCTTTGACCAGCCAGGCCCTTAAACACCGAAGTGTGATGAGTATTCATCTCTGACAAGGGCAGAGATGCCACGGTGAAGTGCCATGTGCTCACTCCTGACTAGACACAGCATGAGCCAAGACAAGTGTCCTAAGAAGAGGAAACTGTGGAACCAGTGGGCACTTTGTTATTCATGTGGCATTTAATACTTGTCACCATCCCATGTTCCTGTCTGTCCGATAACAGGACTGCTTTTGATATTTGCTCAGCTGCCCTTGTCTCCTCAGCAGGTAGGAAAGCAGCATGCATTCCCCAACCACCCAAAAAACAGCATCTAACCATCATCTTTTCTCAACAAGCTAAAACAACAATAGTTTAAATTACTTTGAAACTTTAATTTCAGGTACTTTTCCACTCAGCATTTGAAAGTTTGGATTCTCTTCTTTTTTGTATAAAGGCTGTCAAGGTGGTTAAGCTAAATTGTATGTCTTTCTCTATGTACATATCTACACCCAAGTCTCTTCTTTATTAATAAAAGGTGTCTTGATTGCAGTCCCAAAGCAACTCTGCACTGGATTCCAGGTTGTAAAACTCGGAGAGGAAACAATTTCAAAGGGGGATAGGAAGCAACCACAATAAAAAAGATGTAGCTTGATATTCATTTCTTCTAAGTCCAAATCAGAAACAATAATTAAGAGGAAGAAAAGAAGAGAACCTAGCTTTCACCCTGCTCTCTTTACCAAACACACTAGCCCCAGACACTCTGTGGTCTTAAAGTGCAATTACTATTGTGAAGGCACCCAGGCCAGGGATCCAACTGGATAGAGTTCAAAGCAGAAACTTCAAATAGTGCTGCTCCTGACTCAGGCTGAGAGGGAGAGGCGAGATGGAGGGGAAAGGGCCCGACAGTTCTCCGGCACTCAAGTGCAACAAAAGAAGTGTCCTCTCTTCACAAGGAAAAAAAAAACCAAAACTTAAATTGTAAGGAAACCTGGATGGAAAAATATAACTTTAAAAAAATTTCTATCTGGGGACATTCCAGTGTAGCAGAGTCAAAAGGCAGGCGAACGCAGTACAGAACCAGGGACAAGTGCTCCTCCTAGGTGCCCGGCTCCCATACAGTTGGGCCCTGTGGTCCTCGGGGAAGTCCTCAGGCCGGGGTACAGAGGAAGCACACTGGACTAGGGGCATCTGATAGGATGTGGCTCTCTTCTCAGGCCTGTCTGGACTGGATCCGTCACTGGGTCTCTGGCCATTGAACAACAGATAGTGGCCGCGGGTGTCCTGTTCCATTTTGAAGATCTCGTATTCCGTGTGAGGTAGTTTGATTCCCAGTGCCACACAGCCATTGGTATGGGTCACATCCTGCTGGACGCCCACCTGCCAGGAGCCCTCGGCCCCACATTCATTCCCATTGAAGACGTTGAGGAGTGAGGCTGTGGCTGCGTCCATGGGGGTGACCTTCATGTGATTCACTGCAAAGGAGAGAGGACAGTTCTGTGACTCTAAGGGAGTGAGCGTGCAGTGCAGAAAGTCCAGGAGCAACTGTTGGTAGCACTCATCTCCACAATGCCTTGTGATCTAAAACCAACCCTGATACACATCCACCTAATTGCAGCCTGAGTAAAAAAAAAAGCATTCTGAAGTAGAAAAGTCAGCGATGTTGTTCTGAATAACAATTACTCCAGATTTGTGTGATCAAAAAACCTACTACATTTAGCATATGAATGCTGAGCCCAGATTGCAGCTGATCACAATTGTCTTGGGTGACACTGACTCTTCAGAATTGACAAAATATTCAATAAAACTGGAATTCTGATTTTTATGAAACAAATTTAAGGTTTTTAAATAGATGTGGCATCAAACACCTATACTAGCTAGAAGTCTTGCAAATTAATACTGGCCCATAAATCAGGCAACTAAAATAAATTAGGCTGCAAGCGAGAAACATAAGTAACTATATTAAATACAAACCCCAGCATTTATAGAGGATATCTTTTGAAGGCCCTCCCAGGAGACTGCACTCTGTGTATACAAGGTAGGTTTGGGGTGAAATCAGACAAATATGGCCATTATCTCAGCTACAACTATCAAAGGTCCATTCTTGGAGCAACTCTGCCTTTCCTAAGAAGAGGGTTAAGATGCCCAAGGACTTATCTGGGTTACCAGCAACACTTCATACTAAACAGACTGGACCATGAAATGCTATCCTGAAAGCAGTCATACCCAGTGTCAATACTGTCCCTCTTTGCCTTGCAAGGCTGACATCACCTAAAAACATGTACAAGCTTAAAAAAAAAAATCTAGATAGAGGCCAAAAGACCTCCCTTCCAGATAATCTCATTCCTTACTTTCCTCACTCATGCTTCCTAAATCTCTCACTTTTGAGAAGTATGTGACAAGTTTCCTGGCTAGGACAAACCCAGCAGTGGAAATGACAGCTCTGAGTCCCTGATGTGTAACTAATACCTGCTCTTTATTGCCCACTAAAGAAAGCACAATGCATAAAGTGTGATATTATCACAGAAGTAGCTCAGAATATGCCATGAGCTGCACATAAGAAAAAAAAAACAGACTTGAGATTTCATTTCTAGTCACATACTCATGGGCCACATCTGACACCACACACAGTGGTTGGTGTGGGCTTCCCGGCACCACAGCCTGCAGTTTCAGCAGCCTGCCCTGGCTGGCAGACAGGAGCTCAGAAGCTGTTGTAAATGATGACCTTGGGGCAGAAAGTGTTCCCTATCATCTTCTCTAACACCTCTAGAAGAAAAGGGGCTCTTTACCTTGGGTTCTGCCTCAACAAAAGTCACAAAACTGCTCACTCTCCCTCACCCATTGGGCTGTTATGTTGGGGTTTGAGGGAGGAGACATACCTTTGAATACAAACTCGGTTCCTCCCATGACCCTGGAGGAGTGCACGCCCCGGCTGTAACGGCCCTTGGCATAGATGGTGAAGGTGGGGTGCTTGCAGACAGGGTCGGAGTAGTGGTAATAATGCCCTTCCCAGGTGTTATTGTTGTCATGGAAGATGAAGTGGCGTGTGAGGAAGAGGACTTCGGGCCGCACCTCACAGCGCTGGCTCACCCATTCACCGTGCAGGCCAACAGTGAGGTCAGCCTTGGGGGGCAGGAGGGGAGGGTGATGCTCATCTGACCGGTGGATGATTCGACAGGCTATGCAGGCATGGTCGTGGTTCTGCAGTTATGAGACAAACACAAGGAGAGATCTTGCTTCATGAGAGAGCAGTGTGCGCGTGCTGTGCAAATGGGGATCGCCATGACATGGGTGGTGAGGCACCTGAGCACTGTCACCTATGACCTGGGTACCCAAGAAGCATCTGCAGCCTTGCTCCACTGCATAGATGGGGTGTGTGTGCATGTATTTGGTCAACATTAGACACTTAACCTAAATATTTCATAAAGAGATATGGACTCTCTTTAGAATCGTATTACATTTTCAAACCATGTGTGCTAGACACTTTCATAAAAGGACTGGCATAGCCTCATACCCATTTGGATGGCTACTATTAAAAAAGAAACAGAAAATAACAGTGTTAAAAGGATGTGGAAAAATTGGAACTCTTGTGCAAACACTGCTGGTGGGGATATAAAATGTTGCAGCTGCTATGAAAAAGAATTACTACATAATCCAGTAATTACACTTGATTTATAACCAACAGAGTTGAACCCAGGGTCTCAAAGAGATGGTTTTTCACCCATGTTCATAGCTATTATTCACATGGAAACAACCCAATGTACATTGACAGGTGAATAAACAAAATGTGCTATACTCATACAGTGAAATACTCTCCAATCTTAAAAAGAAAATTCTGACATGTGCTACAACATGGATGAACCTTGAGGATATTGTGCTAAACGAAATAAACCAGAAACAAAAGGACAAATACTGTGTGATTCCACGTACATGAGGGGCCTAGAGTGGTCAAGTTCATAGGGATAAGAAGTAGAATGGTGGCTGCCAGCAGAAAGGGGGATGAGCATTTAATGAGCACAGAGGTTCATGTGGACATAGATGAAAAGTTCTGTGGATGGATGATGGTTGCATAATAATATGAATGTACTTAATACCACTAAACTGTCCACTTCAAAAATGGTTAAGATGGTAAATTTTGTTACGTGTATTTTATCACAATTAGGTTGTTTGCATTAAAAACTGGGAGACACAAACATTTTTTAAAAAGGACACATCCAATTGCTGTGGATAAGAAAGGGAGCTGTCTAGTAAAGTGCGTGAAGGAGGCGGCCCAAAGGCAGGTAAGAGCGGAGCCTTAGAAGTCAGCAGCACACCTGCCATCCATTTGTGTCTGCAAGCCTCGGGGTTTGGGAGGTTTATAGGCTCTCACTATGCTTCCTGCTTTATAGCTTTAAGCCACTTAATAAGTGCAAGATAGCTATGGCTCTCTCAGGAGCTACCCTCTTGCTGAGTCTGCTTTGTAACACTAACACAGACCCTGGAACAGGGCTCTTTAGGTCTGTGGCTAGAAGCCGATTAGTAGGGTGGTCAGACACTGTCAGCCATGTAAGTGCTGGTGGCCCAGAGGCCTCAAAGATTACACAAAAAGCTGAAGTCTAGAGGACAGGAGAGTTGGGTTCATAACCATATCTGCTGTTGTCCAGCTGTTTGACCGAAGTCACAGATACTAGGGCCTGCCTCATCTGGAACTGGGGACCACCTATCTCTCTGCTATAATCCCTTCCACACAGGGGACTATAAAGTAAGCTGGCCTAACAGGCACTGGCTGTGCTAGAAGCACAACTCAAATCTGATCAATGCTGTGGTAGGGGGTTGACAGTTGAGGTTCAGCATTCAGGTGAGCGGCCCACAGACCCCAGCCCTTGTGCTCCCCTGTCCAGGGGCCCATGTGGTACAGCAGCTTGCTGGCAGGTGGGTGCTCTGGGCATGCAGGCAGGCAGGCAGGCACATGATTAGTTTCTAAAAGTCAGAGTTCCAAACCTCAAAGCCCTTTTCATCTCCAGCACTGAATCAATAATGTAAGGTTGCTGTGGCTGTTGTTCAGTTCAACACTCAACCATCTCAGACTGTGGGAGAGCAGTGGAGGAGAGGGCCTCCCTGCTGCCAGTCCTCTACATTCTCCTCCACGGAGAGCTCAACACTTGCTCACCCATTGCTGTTTTCATTATTAGATGAGCTTAGATTTGTACTCCATGACACAGAAGGGTTCCTTTACTAACACTGTTTGTAGGTGATGAGATCAAACAGGTAACCACAGTGTGAGATGAAGGCGAGGGCAGACGGGACTCGCTGTCCTGGGTCCCAACACATCCTGATTCCTGGGCCTTGTGCTTTCCTAAAAAGGGCTCTGGGGGCACACAGGAGAAGCTGCTCAGCAGCCTGTGGTCAACAGCAAGCTGCTGTCTAGAGCAATGGTAAGGAAACAGAGAACGAACGTCTGCATACAGCTGTGCTTAACTGCCTGGAAAGACACAGCTTCAGCCAGGCCCCGAGAGCCAGTCCCCAAGCCCAGGCTTTCAGCAATGACTTGCTTGGCAGCTGGTGACCTGGGGCAACCAGGGTTATTTATCTCTTCATGTTTCAATGTCGTCATATATAAAATGGGGATCGTTATACTTACTTGCATAACTGCTGAAAAAAATGAGTGATAGATTAAGGTGGTTCCCACTCAGTGAATCCAAAACCACTGTAAGGAGGAAGACTAAATAAATGGCATGTTCCACATTACATGTGCCACTATCTTTCAAATGCACATTAGGCTGAGTGAGATACACATTTAGTTAAAAGAAAGTATCACCAAATTCAGTAATTTTACCATCAAGTATTTTCTTAGTAAACTACCAGGAGGTAGAAGTCCCAAATTTTTTTTGTACCTGAAAGGGAACTCTGATAACTCTAAATCTGAGATGGGAAGTTAATATGATTGATCTGTAACATCTTAGCTCTTGCACCCAGGAGGCAGCCCCTTAACTACTAGCAAACACTGTCATGATCAGCACCTTTATCAAACTGTCCCTGTGGCCCTTGCTCCCTATCCCAGTTCCACATGGTCTGAGTAAAACCAGCCCGGTGCTCAGAGTCAAATATCTGGGATCTCATGGACAGGAGGGAGGGGTAAATAGGCAAAAACACTATTCTGGTGTTGATGCCTGTTAACAAGGACGATGTGCTCTGTAGGAGATGGCCTTGGAAAAAGAGGACCCTCTAGGAGCACAGGCCAGGCGGCTTTCAGATCGCCCACAAGAGATCCATACTACTCCACCTGGAGCTCCCAGCTGCCAGGCCTGCTTACTGCTCTGCCACCTGCCCACTGAGCAGGTCCTAAACAGCCCAAGTGAACTGCCTGTTTATTTAAACACGAACCAGCCTCCACCTCCCCTTCCTCCCATTCCCCATAACTTGCTTTGCTGTCTGTAATTTGAAAATTTTAAAAACATTAACTGTGACCACTTCATTTCTGGCCATTCTAAGAAGGCGTAAGTCTCGATCCCTGAAAAGAATGTCTATTTCTTCCAATACCAACATCAATTCAGAAACTGCCCAGGAGCTTCTTAGATCACAAAAGGAACAGGCTCAGTGAGGGAGGTGGGCACAGCTGTCAGGCTAAGGTTGTTTTAGAAAGGTGCTGCCCCCAGCATGGTAGCATCTGGGGTTCACATGGTGCTTTTAAGCAAAATGGGCCAGGGCTCTTGAGCTCTGAGATGAGGACCTGGCTGAACTGTGATCAAGTCAGTGAATGATGGTCTTGAGCTGAAGCATTTCTGTTTCTCAGCAGAGAAAAGCAGATCAGGTAGTTTTGGGAAAACCTGCCATCCATTAGTCCTGTCTGCGAGAATTTAGGGAGGAACTAGGGGGCCCTTAGTTATTGGTCTTGCCAAATTCCTAAACTAGTTACATTTTTGTTTATTGTGGTAAAATAAACATAATGTAAAACTTACCATCTTAACCATCTCATGTGTACGGTTCAGCGGTACTGAGTGCATTCACACTGTCATGCAACCACCACCACCTCCAGAACTTTTTCATCTTCCCAAACTGAGACTTAATATCCATGGAACAGTAACTTCCCTTCCCTCCTCCCAACCCAGCCCGGACACCACCATTCCACTCTCTGTCCCTGTGATTTTGACTACTCTAGGTAGCTCATATAATTGGAATCGTACAGTATTTGTCCTTTCTGTGACTGGCTTATTTCAGTTAGCATAATGTCCTCAATGTTCATCCTTGTTGTAGCATGCGTCAGAACTGTCTTCCTTTTTAAGGCTGAATAGTGTTCCACTGCATGGATAGACCACATTTCGTTTATTCATTCATCTGTTGATGGACACTTGGGTTGCTTTTACTTTTTGTCTATTGTAAATAATACTATGAGCATGGATATACAATCTATTCCAAACCCTGCTTTTAATGCTCTTGAATCTATACCTAGGAGTCGTGCTGCTGGATCATATGGTACTTCTGTGTTCAGCTTTTTGAGGAACCACCATCCTGTTTTCCATAGCAGCTGCACCACTTTACATTTCTACCAGCAACATGCCAGGGTTTTAATTTTTCTATATTCTGGTCAAAAATAGTTATTTTTTCTCTACTAGCCATTCTAGTGCATCTAGTGGGTCCAAGGAAGTATCATTTGGTGTACATTTCCCTAATAATTAGTAATGTTGAACATCTTTTAATGTGCTTATGGACTATTTGTGTATCTTCTTTGCAGAAATGTATATTCAATCCCTTGGTCAGTTTTTAACAGGATTTTTTTTTTAGTTGACCAGTTACTTTTTGAAATAACTGGCATAAAGAAACCAAAGACATCATAAATGAGGGTGCACTTTTGGCCCCTCTGCGGACACCATCAACAAGGGGGCAGCTGAGCTATGGCGAGATAAGGGGGCACCGCTCTGTTTTGTAGACAGATTTAAAAAAATTAATTTGTGCTCTTAATTCCTTGGATTGAATGAAAATGAAAATACCTACAGGAACAGCTAAGGGAAGCAGAAGTTGAAGCCTATACATTGAATTTGATCTAGTGTTTTCCTTTTCCAAGATGCTATTCTTAAGTAGTAGCCTTTCAAGATTAATAAAAGGGAAGAGTTTTTCAACATGAAGAGTAATTTGTACTATGAAATATCACCTGCTTTATGAACTTACTCTTTTTTTTTTGGACCATGTTCTAACAAATGATTCTCATCTGAGAAGGTGTCCTC